TTGAACTCGGGTCCTTGCGCTTGCGCGGGAGGCGGGGAAACCACTGAGCTAAATCCCTGGCTTTTTTTTGTTTTAATTTTAATTTTTTCCTGTAGTGGTTTTTAATACTGCTTATAGTTCAGGTTTAAGAATAATCGTATTTTTTCCTCTAAAAATAAAAACTTGTGTAGCTAACAAGTTAGCAACAAGTCAGTTATTCTAAGCCTCAGTTTTCTTATCTACAAAATGGGGATAATAGTTATACCTACCAATGTGATTATTGAGATTAATGATTACATGTAAATTTTTTATATTATTAAAAATCCAATAAAAGGTAGCTGTTGTAATTATTCCTCAAAGTGTTTAGGAAAATAATCTTGTACATGATAGATACGTAAGTAATTGCTGAACGTGTGTTGTTAGACATTCAGTTTACTATTGAATTTTACTAATGAAGTTTTTAACTCACTTAATTTTAGGTAAAACAAATAGAGAAAAGAGATTCAGTTCTAACGTCCAAAAATCAGATTGAAAGATTGACCCGTCCTGGTTCCTCTTACTTCAATTTGAACCCATTTGAGGTGAGCAGATTAATACTGTGGCAGGGAACTTTTCATATCTGCAGGTAGATTTACATCAGAACACATACCTAATTTGTATCAGAGTTGAGAAAAGTGATGATACAATTTGTACAAATTTGAAGGTTGTTTGTGTGTGTGTTTATGTGTCTGTGTGTGAGCGAGTGGATAGAATTGGAGAGGAGGCAGCAGCATGTTAAAGAAAATGAGACAGTCTTTGCCCTGTCAAATATTCTCCGTCACCTTTTAGCAACCTAAATAAATATACTGTACAAGGATTTAGCCGAGCATGTGGTGGATGGTTGTAATCCCAGCACTCTGGGAGGTTAAGGAAGGAGGATTACAAGTTCAAGCCCAGCCTGGACAGCTTAATGACTCAGGGAGACCCTGTCTCAAAGTGAAAAATGAAAAAAGGGCATCACTCAGTGTGAAGTCCTGGGTTCACTCCACATGTTAAAAAAAAAATCCATATAAAATATGGATTTATTTTCAGGTATAAACAAGTAGCTAGTCTTGATGAAATAGGATCCTTGATTTAAACTATGTATTTATTAAAGCTGGGCTTGGTAGTGCAGACCTGTAATCCCAGCTGTTGCAAATCAGAGGCAGGGTGATTTCGAATTCAGGCTGGGCCTGGGCAAGTTAAGGAGACCCTGTCTCAAAAAAGGGACAAGAATGTAACTGGTGATTGCCTCTGGGTTCAATCCTTAGTACCACATAGACAAAAATAAAATAAAAGTAAACTACTGAGTGTTGAGGTGTCGAATGTTAGTAATCCCAGGACTCAGGGAGACGAAAGCAGCACAAATTTGAGGTGTACCTTGGCAACTTACTGAAACCCTGTTTCAAAATGAAAAATAAAGATGGCTGGGGATTTAGCTCGGTGGTGCTGCCGCCTGCTTCGCAAGCGCAAGGCCCTGAGTTCGATCCCCGGTACCAAAAAAAACGAAAAGAAAAATAAAGAGCCAGGTGGGCTGGGGATATAGCTCAGTGGCACTGCACCTGCCTGGCAAAGGCAAGGTCCTGAGTTTGATTCCTGATATGGAAAAAAAAAGCCAGGAATGGTATTAACACACCTTGTAATCCCAATACTCTGTGGGGCTAAGGCAAGAGGATTGTAAATTCAACCCAAGGATGGGCAGTCAAGCAACTTAGTGAGATCTTGTCTCAAAATTTAAAAATAGGAGAAAAGGACTGGGGATATAGCTCAGTTTCTGAAAGACCTTGAGTTCACTCCACAGTACCAGTAAATAAATAAAATAAAATAAAAATAAAGTAAAATAGGTTGGGAAATGAAGCTCAGTGGTAGAGTACCCGTGGCTTCAATACCTAGCATTCCAAAACAAAAAAGGTAAAGTAGTTGTTAAAACACCTATTTTACTATAACAAAAGACACTAGATACTCAACAACCAGAAAACAAGATTGTAAGATTTTGGATAAGCAAATACAGTT